CCCTCCTGTTTACTCTGCTCACATATGATTGTGCAGCTACCCATCCAGGCTGTCACATTGTAAAGTTTGCAGATGATACAGCGGTGGTGGGATGCATCACAAACAATGATGAGTCCAGCTACAGGCAGGAGGTGGAACACCTGGAGAGCTGGTGCAGAGAGAATAACCTTCACATCAATGTGAAGAAGACAAAGGAGATGATTGTGGACTTCAGAAGGAACAAAAACACCTACACCCCCCTGAACATAAGAGGATCTGCGGTAGAAGTGGTCTCCAGCTACAAGTACTTGGGTGTACACATGAATGACAACCTCAGCTGGAGCAACAACACCACCAGCCTGATCAAGAAAGCTCATCAGAGACTCTACTTCCTCAGACGGCTGAGGCGAGCTGGTCTGGGAAGCTCAGTCCTCACCTCCTTCTACAGGTGTGCAGTGGAGAGCATCCTGTGCTCGAGCATCAATGTGTGGCATGGAGGCTGCACAGCTGCAGAAAGAAAAGCTTTGCAGAGAGTGGTGAAGGCTGCACAGAAATCTGTTGGAGTCAGTCTCCCCACCATCACAGACATCTACACCTCCAGATGCAGGAAGAGGGCCACCTGCATCATGAAGGACCCCACCCACCCAGCACACACACTTTTTGCCCCACTCCCCTCAGGAAGGAGGTTAAGGAGCATTAAGTGTAGAACCACTAGACTGAGGAACAGCTTCTACCCTGAGGCTGTTAGACTCATGAATCTCTAACTAGAATAATCACTGTGAAAAACCATATCATGTTGCTGCTGATCTGTTTCATGTTGCTGCTGATCTGTTTCAATGTTGATGTGTTCATGCGTGCACATCTGCTCACAGACTCATGTTCATGTTTGTGGTGATGTTCAATGTTTTATGTTATGAGTGCTTAGTGTATATTTAGTTGATGTTTTTCTTAGTTCATATCTTAGATGTTATTACTGTTTTTCTTATACATTTTATTGTTGGATGTAACTGGGACCCTGTGTACATAATTTCGCTCCACCACATGTACCACATGAGGTGCGAATGACAATAAAGAAACTCTGACTCTGACTCTGACATTAATTCCTACAAGAAATGCTAGTTTAATGTTTTCTTTGTGGAAATGCAGACTCAGAATTCACACACGTCTCTTCACCTTTAATTTTTTGTTTCCATGTTTTTGCAATCCAACAACTTCGACATATTTTGTGCTATTTTAGCCTGTCATGAACCAAAATATCCCATAATAGTGCTGTGACTTTTATTTTTTGTGGCTTGAATACTTTTCAAAAATATTTGTCTTTATTTATAAATATTTTTTCTTTATTCATTGAGATTGCTTCAGTTAAACTACTTCTAGCATTTAGCTAGCATTTTGGTATTTTTAGCTTTGAGCTGACATCCTGTTACTTTTGGTAATCATTTTGCTACGTCTAGCTTTAGGCTATGCTACTTTTGGCTTTTAGTCAGTTGTTATAGCGGCTGTGGCTGAGTGGTTAGAGCAGTCGTCCTCCAATGCAAGAGTTGGTGGTTCAAACCCCACAGCAGTCACATGCCAAAGTGTCCTTGGGCAAGACACTGAACCCCTTGTTGCCTCCGATGTGTGTCCTATCAGTGTATGAATGTGATAAAGCTCTGATTAGTCTCTTTAGAATGATTTGTTCAATTAGCTTTGTACAGATCTAGTAGAGTGCTGTATGAATGAGTAAATGAGGACACAGTTTGTAGTGTAAAGAGCTTTGAGTATCTCAATAAGATAGAAAGGTGCTATACGTATAAGTACAGTCCATTTATGCTACTTTTAGTTTTGACACTTGACTTTAAGCTTCTTCATCAGATTTCAGCAGTCACTCAGCACTCAGCATTCACACCACATTTTCACAGATAATGCAATTTCTCGAAACCTTTTCGCGTGATTAGAGTGGACACCATTTTGAGTATACAGTAGTCCCTCACTACTTCGTGGTTCATTTATCGCAAACTCTATTGTGGCTTTTCAAATAAGATTGGACTTGACACACACTTGGCTGACTGATGGATGAGCCACACGATCAGCATGGAATTTTTATTTAAAATTAATTATTTAAAATTATTTAGCACCTGCTGCACATTTGTGCAGCCCACAGGTGCAGGATAAGCTTCATCCTGCACCTCTGTGCAGCCCTTACTGCAGGATAAACTTCCTGCTGCAGCTGAACAGCTGTTCTTGTGCAGAGTGGAGAAGTGGGCGTGGCCAAGAAAGTTTGCAGGCAGCTGAGAGCAGCGGAGGCAGGGAGCAGAATTCATGACATACTGTGCTCTTTTAGAGCATTTAGTTTAGAAACATTGTTTAGAATATTACAAAAGTGTGGGAGGGGTTGAAAATGCCTTTATTTATATATA